ATCCTGGAGCCCCCACTCATAAGCACCACCTGGTCGCCCTGGCAAACCGGAAGCCCCACATATATTTTTTAACATTGCCTTTATAAAGACAAGAGATGCAACACACATAAAACAAGAATAGAAAGTTTGCCTTCGACACGCCACCCGTAACTCAGCCGGATGCTGGAATGCAGAAGTGTGAATTGGGAGAGGTGGGGCTGAAAGCTATGCACGTTGATGGGCGCACGTTCTTCAGGATGCTGAAAACTATGGGCCATCTGGACTCATGTCTTTGCTGTTAAGCGCCGTTGAGTCAATTCCAACTCACAGAAACCCAGCGTAGGGTTTCCGAGGAGCAGGTGTTGGGTTTGAATCACCACCTTATAGTTCAAACTGATCTGGCGGTCCAGCGCTTATCCTTCAATGCCACACCAGGACACTCATGAGCCCTCAGGTAAAGTGAGTCGTTCAGAGACTGGATGATGAGGGGTGTACACACTGGTGTGTCTGTGTGGTCTGCAGCTGTGATTTATGTTTGCGAACACACACACACAGACACAGACACAGACACAGACACACACACACACACACACACACACACACACGGGACGGGAGAAAACAGCTCTCTCTGAAGAGTCTCCTGTGGAGTTTTCTCTTGAGCTAGTCCATCCCTGAGGCCCAAGAGGCCTTTTTGGCATTCAGAAAGTTCTTCTTTCTCCTAGGAGGAACATGCAAAGAGATCTCTGGCTCTTTGGGACTCCTGAATATAAAGAGCTTTTCTCCTGTGTTTAGTAAGTCAATGGTTTCTGCTCCGATGATGTTCAGTGGGGCCAGCTCGCCGAGGGGTTCCAGGGACAGATGGGGCCAACTTCCTTTTCCAGGGAATACCAGCCTCTCGGTGAGAGGAAGACACGTCTTCTTCAATATTCTAAAGGAAGAACAGAGGATCAAATTCAACATTGTGGCAAGAGATCCTCCAGAGTATATAGGCGGGTCTTTTTGTAGTACATTTCCCCAGGACACTGCCCTAATTATTTTTTCCCACAAATCAAAGGCTTGCGGTAAACTTACACCAAGTGTACCGGCACCACTTTCCCAACATCGTGTGTTCACTTGGTGTCTCTGTGCCACCTGTTGGCCAGTATCACATGATTCCACAGTTTTTCATCATGCACCTGGGAACGTCACAGACTACAGTATATTGTCAACATGATTTTCTATGTAGTGCACGGGGAAACCAAAAAATGCGTGTCATTTGATTTATTGCAATATTCGTTGTGGTAGTTAAAATGGTGCCCACTTGACTGGACCAGGATTGTCAGGGAGATGTACTTCTCCTCTATTGTTAGGTGCCATCGAGTCGGTACCGACTCACAGCGACCTTATGATCCTGGGCCAACCTCTGTGTTGTTGTTGTTAAGTGCTGTCGAGTCGATTCTGACCCATAGTGACCCTGCATAGGGTTTCCAAGGAGCAGCTGGTGAGCTTGAACCACTGACCTTGCAGTTCAAACTGCTATGGTGAGCTCTAATACAATGCAACAGACTTAATGATAGAAGTCAGCTATGATCAGCCAATCAAGTGAAAGGACGTTTCCTTGGGGGTGTGGCCTGTCTGCAATGTACTGGACACTCAGGCAAAGCTTGCTTGTTCTCTGTGGGTCTGGATCTTGCATCTGGCTCAAGTTCTTTGGACTTGAACCAGTGATCTGCCAATAATGGGGGTCCTCGCTTTCTTACCTGTTGGACCTACCTGCCTGCCTGCCATCGGATCTGCCAATCTTGGTTCATTTGACGCAGACTTGGGGCTCTCCCACCTCTCCAATCGTGTGACCCATTTCTTTGATATAAACTTCTCTTTGTAGCTACATAGACAGTGTACTAGCCTGGTGTGGTGCTGTACGATAAGCACTCAACCACAAGGTTAGTTTGAACAGCAAGGCTGGCAGTTCAAATTCACCAGCCACTCCTCAGAAACCCATACAGGGTCACTATGGGTTGGAACTGACTTGATGGCACGTAACAACAACAACATATAAGTTTCATTGGTATTGCTTCTCTGGAGAACCCAGCCTAAGACATTTGCTTTATTGTGGTGGTCTGGAATCGGATCCACAATATCTCCGAGGTCTGCCGATGTTGAGAGTTCTATAAGGAAATCCCCTTTTTGGGTCCTGGAGTGCACAACCAAATACATTTAAAAAGAAGGCTTCCCCGTTTTGTTCACCCTATCACCCCTGAAATTAGGTGGCGTATGTGGCAGTGATGTGCTACAGGATCACTGGTAATATTTCCTAGAGTTTTGCGAGCCAATTCTCATCAAGCCGTCAGCTTGAAATCGGCCAGGGTGAGAGGATTCACATGATGGAAATGCATCAACACTACTAACTGCGCTCCCACACCCGGCAGCAGGCTGTTAAACACTGGCCAGCACATCCTTGGACTCCTGGTGAGGCACTGTAGGATCAGCAATGCACTGCTCACTGCAAGGTCGGTGGTTCAAACCCACTGGCCGCTCCTTGGAAATCCTATACAGAGGCGCTGTGAGTCAGAACTGACTCGGATGCCACTTAACAACAGCAGTAACACACCACTGCCCTGTGCTTCACACTAAAGGAGGGAATGCAAGCAGCCTGGTTTACAAAGCAGTTAGCAGTTAGGCAGAATGCCTTTGGAAGACAGTGACAAGACGTGGTTTGAACCCACAAGTCGCCCTGCTGGGTAAAGATAAGCACATTTGCTTCCTTAGAAGTTGGAGCCTAGGAAACTTATGGGGCAGTTTTTAATGTCCTATTTGGAGGTTAGAATCAATGCGACAGCAATGTTTCTGTTTTGTTTTGTTTCAATCAGTCTGCTTGATGGTACTTGTCTCCACACTGTCTGTACTGAGCTCACTTGGTCAGCTGTCCTTGTCATCTATGCACTGCGCCCCTGACGCTAAAAGGGCATTGTTGTTGTTAAGTGCCATCGAATCGATTCCAACTCATAGTGACCCTGTATAGAGTGTCCGAGGAGTGGCTGGTGAGCTCGAACCACCGACTGACCTTGCAGTTCAAACGACTTTGCAGTCTGACGCATTAGCCCACAGCACCCCACCAGGACTCCACTTTCAAGGGTATTATGGTTCAAATCGACCTTGCAGTCCAGCACATTACCCTACAGTGCCAGGACATTACAAGGGTATTGATGGTGGTGGTTATGTGCCGTGGAGTCAGTTCCGACTCATGGCGACCCTGTACAGGGTTTCCAAGGCTGTAAATCTTTACGGGAGCAGAAAGCCTCATCTTTCTCCCACTGAACCACTGGTAGTTTCAAACTGCTGACCATGAGGTTAGCAGTCCAACTCATAACCACTACGCTACCACAGCTCCTCTACAAGGGTATTGTTGTTGTTGTTGTTAAGTGCCGTCAAGTCGGTTCCGACCCACAGCGACCCTGTATAGGGTTTTCAAGTAGCAGCTGGTGAGCTTGAACCACGGACCTTGCAGTTCAAATGACTTTGCAGTCTGACTGACGCATTATCCCACAGCCCCACACCAGGACTCCACTTACAAGGGTATTAGCTTCTGCGTCAACTAGACTAGGTCAGGATTTCTGGAGGTTTAGTAGTTGGATGTGCTTATTCCCATGGTGATGAAACCTAGTACAGGCATAGTTAGCTTTATGATGAGCAGCTGTGAGCAGCCAATCAATTAAAGGGATGTTTCCTTGGGGGTGTGGTCTACTCCCAATGTAATGAGCAGAGGAACTCCCTCTCTCTCTCTAGAAGAGGACCTGGGACTCTATGATTGTAAGACAAAAAACTTCTCTTTATATATATAATTCCACTCTTTTTTGTTTCTCTAGACACCACTGTAAGCAGAGAAAGTATTTCATGAGGTGGAAGGTTCACAGGTCACAGGTCTGAGGGGGTAGGGGGATAATGGGACCAGTCTGATGGGCCGGATCCACATGTCGTCTGACCTTCTGAGATTCAAGGTGACAGTCCCCACTTCCTGGAAGGTCAGGAGGCTCCAGTGCAGTTCTGGACACAAAACCCAAAGCAAATGCGATTCTGACTCATCCCAACCCTAATGGTCACCTTAGGGTGACGGAGGCTGCAAATCTTTATGGGGAACAGACAGCCTCACTGTTTCCTCGTGAAGGGGCTGGTGAATTTGAACCGACGACCTCGTGGCTAGGGGCTCAATGCTTAACCCACTGCATCACCTTAAAGCTTTTTGTTGTGAGTGTTGAGTATCGGCAAATTGGTTCCAACTCAGAGCGGCCCTGCATAGGGTTTCTGAGGAGCATCTGGTGGGGTTTGAATCACAGACCTTGTAGTTGGTAGGCCAGTGTTTATTACCCTACAGCGCCATACCAGGAAAAGCCTGCATAAACTAGGCTGTTAAGAGCTGTAAAGAAGTCTTCTCATCCCTCTCTATGTAAGCCATTTAAAAAGATCCATTAAAGTCAACACAGTAATTAAAATGCTAATCAGTGTTCAGAGCGCTTTCTCAGTGCGGATAGTTATGGGGCTTATCAGCAGCCTCTACGCCAAGCCCACCTAGAAGAAAGACTTGAAATCTTCAGGGAAGGGAGGGAGGGAGGAAGACTGCAAGCTCACCCTCCTCAGCCCTCAGGAGTGAAAACCAAAACCCATCCCAGTGACCCTGGACAGGGTTTCCGAGGCTGTGGTCCTTCTCCCACACAGTAGCTGGTGAGTTTGAACTGCTGACCAGCAGCCCGGCGCTTACCCCCGTCACCACCAGGGGTCCTCGCAGGGGGTCTCGATTACCTCTCCTTCCTCCGGTGCGCCCAGAGAGCCTTCTGTCGCCCTTGGCTGACAAGATCTCCTCGCAGTCTGCTCTCGAAGGCTCGCCACCAGCCCTGGTGGTCCCTGAAGACAAAAAGCCCGTCTTAGATTGTGACAATTGAATTTTTCAAGTGAATAGTGATCATATTTCTCAAAAAGCAAGATGTGACAAAGTAGCAAAAAAAGGCAGGCAACACATACCCACAAACAGGAGAATCGGCAGAGGACACCATGATTGCGGAGGTGGCTTAAGTGCCTGAGAGTTGGTTCTGACTCTTAACGACACTGTGTACAATTTCTGAGGAGTGGCTGGTGAGTTTGCACCACCAAGCTTGTGGTTCGAACCAATGTTATAGTCCAGTGCTTATCTTACAGTGCCACACCAGGGCTCCTCAACATCATTCGTTGTGGTTGTTGTTAAGTGCCTTCAAGTTGGTTCCGACTCACAGCGACCCTGTTAGGATTTCTGACTGGTGAGTTTGAACTGCCAACTTGTGATTCAATCTGACCTTTTGGTACAGTGTTTATCCTACAGCACCACACCAAGACTCCCCAACATCATTGTTGTTAAGTGTTCTAACACATAGCGACCCTAGATAGGGTTTCAGCTGGTGAGTTTGAACAACTAACCTTACAGTTCAAACCAACTTTGCAATTGAGTGCTTACCTACAGTACCACACACCACAACTCTTCAACATCATTGTCATTGGGGTTGTGAAATGCCATTGAGTTGGCTCTGACTCATAGAGACCCTGTATAGGGTTTCCGGGGAGCGGCTGTTGAGCTTGAACCATCAACCCTGCGGTTCAAACTGATATTGCAGTCCAGCACATTAACTCACAGTGCCACACTAGGACTCCTGGTCAACCTACGGAGGGCAGCACTGACCTCAGGACCAAGCTCAGAAGAGAAGGGGAGGGGAGGTGGGGTGGAAACAGAGGGAGACGGAGAAGTCGTGTCCGGGGAGAGGATTACAATCTTTGACATGAAACAAAATGTGTGACTGGCTGAGTGCAAAACTGAGGCTCTGCTCTGTACACCCTCACCTCACCCACAAGAATCTGCTTTCCAGAAACAAATGAAAATAAAGAACTCTGTGCAGAAAGAGCTAGGGAGTGCACCTGGACATTGACCAAAGGTAGCCAATCAGATGCATGTGATCTAAGTTCAAGGTCACGGGCCTGGTGGCTGTGAGTCAGGGTCACGTGATCTTGAGTCACACTGGAGCACCACACAGATAATCAAATTCCCAAGAGCAGTCCTGCAAGCCCCTTCTAACCTGCAGGGATTGGAAGTATCCGGATTCTGGTCCTTTCCCACTTCTGCAGTCCCGCCTCTGACAGTGATAGCTGGACCTGCCTCCAAGCACCGCCTCCGGGACACAACCTTCCCTCTTACTGCACATAACCCACACCAGGCTGTGAGTGGGCCTTCCACCGGCCTCTGCACTGTGCACATGCTGACGATCAGGAATGACCGTCTCTGGGTTTAGTGCTTAATAAAAGGGTCTCCACAGCTGTGGGATAGATAAAGCACTGGACTGCAAGGTTGGTTTGAATCACAAGGTTGGCGGTTCAAACTCACCAGCTGCTCTATGGAAATCCTATATAGTTGCTATGAATTGCAACCAACTCCACAGCACTTAGGATCAGCACAGGGCTGTGAACCACACGATTGGCAGTTCAAACCCTCCAACTGCTCCTCAGAAACCCTATTCAAGATCTTAACAACATACAGCACTTAACCACAACATGGACAGTGTTTGAACCTGGGGTCTTTATACCCCTAGCATGTAGAGTAGAGCGGCTCTGTACGATTTTCTCAGTTGGAATCCTGGTGTGGCGTTGGGGGTTAATGTGCCACCCGCTGTACAGGGTTTCTGAGGCTGTAAATCTTTAAGGGAACAGAAAGCCTCATCTTTCTTCCACAGAATGGCTGGTGGATTCGAACTGCTGACCTTGAGGTTAGCAGCCCAGGTTGTACTCTACTATGCTATCAGAACTGGTTAGTTGTTGTTGTTGTTGTTAAGTGCCGTCGAGTCAATTCCAATTCATAGCGACGACCCTGTATAAGGTTTCAGAGGAGCTACTGGTGAGCTTGAACCGCCAACCTTGCGGATCAAACTGACCTGTGTATCACACGTGACCAGGTTCACGTATAACACACAATAACATGAATACCACACAGTCACACTCAGTCACACCACATTCACACATACATTGTCACACCAACACACCACACTCCACACACTAACAGGCACACCATATAGTCACACTCGGTTACACACACAACTGTCACACTCACACACACCAACACCACATTCACTCCGTCACACCCCTTCATAAGAACACCCATACCACAGTCATACCCACACAAGCTAACCCACCACACAGTCACACTCACTCCGTCACACCCCCGCATGCAAACACACACCACACACTCACACTCAGTCACACTCACACAGACAAACCACATTTACTCCGTCACACCCCCACAGGCGAACACACACCACACACTCACACTCAGTCACACTCACACAGACAAGCCACATTTACTCTGTCACACCCCCGCATGCTAACATACACCACAGTCATTCAGCTACACCCACACATACACAAAAACACTCACACATACCACAGACACACACAAACTCGCACTTGTTGACACCATACATAATAAATACTCAGTTACACTCACACCACACACACACTACGTACCACACACACACTACGTACCACACACAATTGCACACTCACACAAATGCCACACATTCACAGAACCCTGCCAAGAAACCTCTTCTGGAGGAAGACATAAAACAAAAACCTTCGTTTCTCCAGGTGGTAGAATGGCGCCTACTCCGTTTTTCTTATATTTATATATATGTTGTTGTTGTTGTTAGGTGCCGTCGAGTAGATTCTGACCCATAGCAACCCTGTATAGTGTTTTTGAGGAGGAGCTGGTGAGCTTGAACCGCCGACCTTGCAGTTCAAATGGCTTTGTAGTCTGGTGCATTAACCCATTAATCACAGCGCCACACCAGGATTCTCTCTCTCTCTCCATATATATATATATATATATATACACACACACACACACACACACACACACACATATGTATTATGCTTTCCTGAATGGGTGCATCGGACAGATATAGGGCACAGGTTAACTGATTTTGTTAAGATTCGACTTTTTAAAAAAAAATAAACGACTAAAATGAAAATTGTGGAGAACATACTTGGGCCTGTTGTTAGGTGCTGCTGAATCAGTTCCGACTCACAGAGATCCCACACACAGCAGAATGAACCCCTGCCCGGTCCTCTGTCATCTTCATTCACACTGGTGAGATCTGAGTCTACTGTTACTGCCACCATGTCCATTCATATTGCTGGGCGTCTTCCTCTTCTTCACTGACCCTACAGTGGTCCTGGGGACTGGTCCCTCCTGATAACATGTCCAAAGTATGAGAGACGAAGTCTGGTCATCCTGGCCTCCAAGGAGCACTCTGGCTGCACTTCTTCCAACACAGATCTGTTGGTTCTTTTAGCAACTCATGGCACTTTCAATATTCTCATCCAACACCATAACTCAGAGGCATCAATTCTTCTACGGTCTTCCTTATTCGCTGTCCAGCTTTCGCAAGCATATGAGGTTATTGAAAACACTAAGGTTTGGGTCACGCGCACCTTAGTCCTCAAACTGACATCTTTGCCTACAGTGACTTAAATATATGTCACTATGATCCTTTTGGCTGTCACTTATCCCTGGAACGATGGCAAGCCCTCAGGGAAAGGCCTCTGTGTGTGCCAGACCATTGTGCATCCTGCACACCCCCCAACACACACACAGACACTTTCTTTAGGGATCCAGTCATAGCTGTCCACTGGCAGCCCCACAGACCCTGCACTCACCTCCTCCTGCCCAGCTCGCCCTGCTCCCCGCTGCTGTCATTCTCCGCAGTGACCATGTAGTCAGCATGTTTCTCGCTGACTGCGTCCAGTGCAGAGAGCAGTTCGGGCTGTGAGGCTGCCGGCTGGACCACACTCAGGAGGCGACGCAGTGTGGCCCCTGGCACCATGGCCAGCTTCACGAGGTAGGATGCCAGTCTCAGTTCCTGGTGGAGTTAACAGAGGGAGTTCAAATGTTACCACCTCTCACCTTGTTGGGCACCTGTGTTTAATTTATGACATGCTGAGGGCATTTTTGTCCCCGAGTGATGAATATTTAAGTAACTCAGTCTTAAAAAACATGCTCCCGAATTCACAGACCTGTCAAAAATTCTATTTAGTCAGCAGCCCTGGTTCCCCACAGTATTTCTAGAGGCTCCATCCATTCTTGAAGCTAACTGTTCTCAGCTTGGATCACCAGAAGGAAAACCATGGATGGCTGGAAGGCCAATTAAAGACCCTTCTTCCCACTCAAGCTCCCTGAGGCAGGAGAGTAAGGGTGGTGCACACCCTGGAAACAACCGGCATGTCCCTCAATGGTGATGGGCTATGCCAGACTGTGGTATACCACACTGTAGTGAAAAACACCCAGCAATGGATGCTGGAGCTCTGGACTGCATGCAAAAGGTCATGTCCAGTGGACGTTGGAGCTCTGGACTGCACACAAAAGGCCCGTGTCCAGTGGACACTAGAGCTCTGGAGCGCACGCAAAAATCCCATGACTAATGGACCCTGGGGCTCTGGACTACATGCAAAAGGCTGACCTCCAATGGATGCTGGAGCTCTGGACCACATGCAAAAGGCCCATGTCCAACATCACATACTATGTTACACCAAGGATCTAATTTCCCCAACATGAAACCGTCTAGAGATAGAGAATGCTGATTGCCAGAGGTCAGAGACAGCAGTGGGGAAGAGATACCTATGACCACAAGCTCAGTCTTCATCAGCTGCCATCAAGTGGGTCCCCAACTCATGACAACCCCAAGCAACAACCCCTGGATCTGCACCGTCACTACGGTTGGTTGTGGATTGGATGGACTATTGTGATTTCACTGGGTTGGGTTTTCACGGGCTGGTTTTCAGCAAGAGATCACCAGGCCTTTCTCCCTAGTCTTATTCGGGATGCTGCACTGTTCAACAACACACAAGTCCCCTCTATTTGTGCACAGATGGTACACAAGATGCGCTGGCCAGAAATGACACCTGGGATCCCAAATGGAAGGTGGGTAATCTACCACTGAACCACCACACCCCTAATGTTAGGGGGGAAAACAGGGAGGTTTCTGTGGTGAGGGGATGGTGGTACATCTGGATTATGGAAGTCATTATGGGAATCCACGCATGATGTAAAATGATATAAACGGTAAGCACAATCCACCCCAATCATCTCATATGTATGGAAAAGCTGGACCATGAATCAGGAAAAGTGAAGAAAGAGTGACACATTTGGATTATCATGTTAGCAAAGAATATTCAAAGTACCATGGACTGCAAGATGAATGAAAAACCAAAAAACAAAAAAACATGTGTTGGAAGAAGGACAGCCAGAATGCTATTTGGAGGCGAAGATGGTAAGACTCCACCTCTCGTACTTTGGAAATGTTATCAGGAAACACCAGTCCTTGGCAAAGGACATCGTGCTTGGCAAAATAGAGGGTTGATGAAAATGGTAAGAGTCCCCACTGCCAAGGAGATGGACGGACACAGTGGCTGAAACAATGGGCTGGTCCGGAACACCAGCTGGGGACATGACTCAGGGCAGGCCAGTGTTTTGTTCCGTTGTGAAAAGGGTCACTATGAGTCGGAGCGGACTCCATAGCACCTAAAAACAAGAAGCTCCTAGGACTGTGAGGAAACAAATTTCTGTTTTTGTCAAAGCCATCCATTCATGGTAATTCCGTGTCGGTGTTGTTAGGTGCTGGCAGGTTGATTCCGACTCATTGCCACCTGGTATATGGTTTCCGAGTTGCGGTGGTGGGTTTTAACCGTTGACCTTATGGTTGGCAGTCCAGTGCTTACTCTACAGCTCCACACTAAGACTCAGTAACTAAGACATGGAAGTAGTCACACTGATTTTCCATTCCATTCATGAATAGAGAGGAAGTACCTTGTTTGAAGGGGGTTGTGCACAGGCGGGAAATGCCACCAGTAGAACATTTAAAGGGAGTGAAAACAGACCGGAAACCCAGACTGGCAGGGGGTCGTTGGCTAAGTCACACCAGCTCTCTGACGCTCTGTTTCTTCATCTAAAAAATGACAATCCCATCCACACCCCACCTCAGCACGGGGCACCTGAGGCACCTGTGATTCTTAGAGGGCTAAAGAGTTTGAAGCACTGTGATGAGCATGAACTTGGAGGATGTCTCTTAATATTGCACAAAATATGGGGGGAAAAGAACTGTCAACATTTCACAAATACAAACACATGGACATTAGCCCTCACTCTGATCTTACAACTCAAGCCAATTGTGGCTGGAGATGGTCTACCAGCAGGAAACAAAATGGCGCCAGTCCATTTCTGGAGGGATTCCTTCATCTTCTCTGGCCCTTTGCTTCACAAATCATGAAGTCCATTTCAGGCAACTGGTCCTTCCTGAACACATGTCCAAAGCAGTAGAAGTCTCACCTCACTGGGTTCTGTTTGACTATTCCACTTCTTACTACCAGTTTTAACCAACTGCTGGTCTAGACAAAGCTGACCCACGGCGCTCCCGTGTGGGTCAGAGTAGAACTGGGCTCTGTTGGGCTTTCAATGGCTGAACTTTCAGAAACTGATCACCAGATTTTGACCTCTGAGGCACCTCTGGGTGGATTTGAACCTCCAAACCTGTCAGTTAGCAGCTGGGCACATTCACCACGTACACCCCCTGGAGACCCCAGGGCTGTTATCTGAAGTGGGGATTGGACAAGGATTTGTATGAAAAGGTGGATAATGAGAGATCCTGCCCAATAGCAAAGTTAGGAGTGGTGTGTCCAGGGCAGGAAGATATTTATAAATCCAGGCTCCCAAGCTAACGGTCACCTCAGAGGGAAAGGGCTGTGGGGTGGGCTAGGGAGGGATGTTCTTACCTGTCCATACAGGGTCATGAAGGTCTCAGTCTCCATGTTTTCCAGCAAATCTTCAAGTACAACACAATTCTGTTCCTCTTGTCTCAAACTAGAATAAAGGAAAATCTACATGAGTCCACTTTTGCTATAAAGTATAGCTGGGAAAGGGGCTATCTGGTTTAATAACAAAGAACCACAAATCTAGCCCACAGGGTCTTTATTGTTGACACCCACATGAAGAGGGTCATTCGAATTGCATGGAACCTGATGCCCTGGAGTCTATTTTAACTCACAGCGCCCCATGTGCTTCAGAGCAGAACTGCACTCCTTAGGTTTTCAAAGGCCGATTGTTTGGAAATGGGTCTCCTTGGCTGCTCCTTTTTTTTTTTTTGTTTATATGATATCGGATGTCACCATTGGCGGGAACTGCATGGAGGGGTGCAGAATCTCTGTACTGTTTTTGCAACTTCTGTGACCCTCTAATTGTTTCCAAATAAAAAGTTAAAAGCATATGATGCTGTAGAGTCAGTTCCAACTCATAGCGACCCTGTACAGGGTTTCCAAGGCTGTAAATCTTTACGGGAGCAGAAAGCCTCATCTTTCTCCCATGGGACTGTTGGTAGTTTCGAACTGCTGACCTTGAGGTTCGCAGCCCAATTCATAACCACTACGCTACCAGAGCTCCTTATATGATGCTTACTAGGCCCTAGTGGTATTTTAAGAAAAAGGTAAAGCAGATGAACTGACAGGGAAGACAAAGTGTGTTAAAAAGCCGACAGCTCCGACAGGTGTGTGAGAGCCTAGGTAGAGGACACCTCACTGGGTGTTAGAGGCTTGGGTGTCCCCTGGCCTGTGGTGGACAGATGCAGCCCTGAGTTTACCTCAGAGCCCTCGGTTTACCTCTGCTGGTGGTTCTCCAGAATCTTCCGAGCCTTACTCAGAGCCCACTGCAGGACGGCAGAGACCTGCCCTTCGGCGCCCACCTCCGCAGGTGTGTTTGGGAGCCCGAGCTCCTCAGCGCTCCACCGCTGCTGACTTGTCAGACCTTGCTGCTGCTGAACTGCGTCCTGTTGTACCAGCCGCTCCTCCAGCTTCCTCTCCAACTCCAGTAGCTCCTGCAGACACAGGGGGCGGTGCTGAATCCCACCACGGGGCTGCTTCTCACCTGCCTCCCCCATCCAGCTGTGACTGCAGCATCCCAGGTCCCCACGACTTGGCACATGCTGCTTCTCCATCTGTCTGACTGATTGATAGACTCAATGATGCTCCCCAAAGAGGCCTGTTCAAGTCCTCACCCTTGACCCTGTTTGGAGATAAGAGTCTTTTAAGAGGTCATTGGTTAGACGTTAGTCAGACAACCCTAGTCTGAGATGGTAGCTAACAACAACAGCTCACCTCAAATGAACATTTTCACAACACAAAATTGATCGTGAGGGATTAGTTGTTGTTGTTAAGTGCTGTTGAGTCAGTTCCGACCCATAGCGACCCTGTATCGGGTTTCCAAGGAGCAGCTGGTGAGCCTGAACTGCCAAAATTGCAATTCAAACGGTCTTGGAGTCTGGTGCATTAACCAGACAGATCCAGGGAAGACTGATGCCAAGATGCATGGAGATCTCCAACTAAAGCTGGACCTAAGGATGCTGGAGGGAGACAAGGGCCTTTCCCCAGAGCTGGATCTGAGTGGACTTCTAGCCTCCTAAATGTGAGAGAAGAAACTTCTGTTTGTGAAAGCCACCCCCCTGTGGTATTCCTGTTAGAACGGCACTCGAGAGCCAAGGCAGGTCCTAAACAGGGACTTGTAACCAGGTAAGAGCTGTAATGAAAGACCGCCCTCTCCTTTACCATCCCATGTGGAAACACGACCGAACACAGACTTTACAAAAGCGCCAAATTGGGTTTTTCAAACAGAGTTTTCAGCAGTGTACTCTGTCAAACCTTCAGCCACATGCAAACCAGAGTCTGGGATAGATGTCTGCTACGACGCTGGCCCCGGTCCATTTCTGGGGAGAGGGGCTTGAGTCAGTCTAGTCAGTGTCCCCAGGGAAGGTGAGGGACAAAACAGTGATGTCAGAGGGCCAAACGCTTCCTCCTTCTGTTTTTCCACCCTGCTCACATCCTCGCTGGGTTTCTTATGTCCATTTCTTTCCTGGCCCACCCGCCCCCTGCCTTCTGAGCTTTGCTTTTGGGCAAATCCTGCTCTTTTGGTATCATGACTGACTAGCGTTGACAAAGAATATTAGCTACACCAGGGACTACCAGAAGAAGGAACATGGTTTGGAAGAAGTACAGCCAGAATGTGTCTTAGGAGCAAGAATGGCGAGACTCCATCTCATGAACTTTGGAACTGTCACCAGGAGGGACCAGTCCCTGGAGAAGGACATGATGCTTGGGGAGAAAAAGAAGGCTCTCAGTGAGGCGGATTGGTACAGTGTCTGCAACCATGAGCTCAAAGACAACAACGGTTGTGAAGTGGGAGTAGGACCAGGCAGTGTTTCATTCTGTTGTATTTAGGGTCACTATGCATGGGACTTGGCGCCACCTGAGAAGACCAAAGACCACAACCTTCGGAAAAAGTTGCACCTCAATGTAAAGCAAACAAAAGTCCTCACCAACCCATAGCATTGGCCTTTTTTTTTTTTTTTGATACAGTGACTGTGAATTTCTTCCATCTTCTTGTGATGCTTTCTGCATCGTTCAATAGTTTGCCCATGGAATCCTTCAATATTGCAAGTCGAAGCTTGAATTTTTCAGTTCTTTCAGCTTGAGAAATTGCTGAACATGTTCTTCCGTTTTAGTTTTCTAATTCCAGGTCTTTGGGATGTCATCCCACAACTCTTCTGTTCATTAGTCATTGGTGTCTAATGCATTGAATCAGTTCTTAAGATGGTCTCTAAATTCAGATGGGATATATTTTGGCTCTTGCAGATTTGTTTTAATTTGCTTCAGCTTCCAGCCTGAACTTGCATATGAGCAATTGATGGTCTGTTCCACAGAAGACCCTTGTGAGGTGTCCTTGAGTTGGTTCTGACTCGTAGCCACCCCAAGTACCACAGAATGAAACACTGTCTGGTCCTGGGCCATCCTCACAATTTTTGCTTTGCTTGACACGACTGTTGCATCCACCTTGTTAATTCATCTCCTTGAGGGTCTTCCTCTTCTTCGCTGACCTTCTACATTACTAAGTATAATGTCCCTCCCTCTCTAGGGACTGGTGCCTCCTGATAACATGTCCAATGTGTATAAGAAGCAGTCCTGCTTCTAAGGCCCACTCTGGTTGTCTTTTCTCCAAGATAGCTTTGTACGTTCTTCTGGCAGTCCTAGGTACTTTCAATAGTCTCTGCCAACACCATAATTCCAGAATAGATTCTTCTCTGGTCTTCCTTCTTCATCATCCAGCTTTCAAATGCAAATGCAGTAATTGGGAATACCCTGGCTTGTGTTGGGTGTACCTTAGTCCTCAAGTGACATCTTTGCTTTGAACACTTTAAAGAAGTCTTCAACAGCTGTTGCTGTCCAACGCACTGAGTCATTATTTGGCTGAAATGAAGTGGAAGGTCAGCAAAAAAGAGAAGGACCCCCAGCGAGATGGATTGTAACAGCAGTAATGGGCTCAAGTATAGCAACCATTGTGAAGAGAGCACAAGAGTGGGCAGTGTTTCATTCTGTTGTGCATAAGGTCACTGTGAGTCGGTCCAGACTCAAGGGCACCTAACAACAACAACCTGTAAAAATCCCAAGGTGCCCAGATTGAGACTATTGAGAATATTTTCTTCTGCCGTGGCCCAGGGCAGCCTGCCAACCCACTCAGTTAGCAATGAAGCACTTTAACCTCTGCTCCACCAGGGATCCTTATTAACTAACCAAGTTGGAGATTCCCTGACTGTATGTACTCTAATACATCTGAACTCCTTCCCTATGTTAGAGAGGTCTTTGATTACAAATTCAAGGAGAAGTATCCCCACACACCTGGACCAGGTGTGGAGCCAGACAGTTTGTCTTTATCACTTCCTTTTGCCAACAGATGACTTTCTCTTCCCTCCCAAGTGTCCCTGAGCACCCTACCGCATCACAGCATCCTCAGGCCTCATCGACCGTTCCCCCAATTAAGCCCAAAACCACAGGTTCAAGATTTCAGCGTTGGCTCCCACGGGAGAATAAGTTCTTGAAATTGCCTACATCTTTGTGATTTCAGCTTAATCTTTGGCCCTTGGGGATTTTCCATATTCTCACGGGAAATGTGGAAAGCATTACCCCCCACCCCCCCCAAAAAAAAGAGTTTACGAATTCTGACTGGCTCAGCATTTGAATATTTCATGCTCAAATACCCACAATGCTTTGTGCTGCTGTGGAAGAGTCCACCTCCAACTCACGGTGACCTCATGCACTCTAGGATCCAACTGCTGTAAGCCAGAGGGTTTTCATGGGTGGATTACCAGGTCTTTCTTACTAGTCTCTCTTAGTCTGGAAGCTCTGCTGAAACCTGCTCAGCCTTATCATAACATGGAAGACTCTACTGAAAGGCTGGTGGTGGCTGTGTCCAAGGTGCACTGGTTGGAAATCGAACTTGGGTCTCCGGCATGGGAGGCGGTATCTCTACCACTGAGTCACTGGGGTCCTCAGTAATGCCTGTTTCCTTTCAACACTAAAATGGTTATCAGAGTGCAGGGCACTTAGATTCTGCCTGAAAATAGTCCTGTATTCTCCAGAGATTCCTAGCATATTCCTTTTTGACGAGATGACATAAACCCTCCCCGGATGTCTCAACAGGTGAGGCTCACGAATGTGTCACAGCGGGTAAAGATTCCATTTCTTCTTCTTGTCACTTATCTGTCGAGTGATCTTGACAAAAATCACCTGTTCAGTCAGAATCTGTTTTTTCACCTAGGGATTGTGTATAACCTTCTTCATGGTTGTTGTTGATAAGTGCTGTTGAGTTGATTCCTACTCATAACGACCCTATATAGGGTTTCCAAAGAGCAGCTGATAACTTTGAACTGCCGACCCTGTGGTTCAAACTGACCTTCCAGTCCAAGCACACCACCTCAGGACCCCTTTAAGGGATAGCTCAATAATCTATTCCAGGACCCCTCTATGGGATAGCTCAATAATCTATTCCAGGACCCCTCTATGGGATAGCTCAATAATCTGTTCCAGGACCCCCTTTATGGGATAGCTCAATAATCTGCTCCAGGACCCCTTTAAGGGCCAGCTCAATAATCTGCTGGTATAATGTGTGACAAAAAGTATGATGATAAAGCAGTAAAAACTGCAACTTATTAATAATTATGCTGGAAGCATTTTTAGCATAATTAACAAAAGAAATCTTAGTGTCTTAATGAAAGCAGGTCCAGTCACAGCTTACCAATGCCTGCCTACCACACACCAGGTACTCAGTCAGCATGAGCTCCTTTCTCCTTGCCAACAATAATTAGTATGACAGGAATATAGGAAATTCTAAAATCTATGTATCATTGTGGTTGTTGTTGTTGTTAAGTGCCATCAAGTCGGTTCGGTTCTAACCCATAGTGACGCTGTATAGAGTTTCCGAGGAGCAGCTGGTGGATTTGAACTACCCACCTCACGGTTCAAACTAACCTTGCAGTTCTGTGTATATCCTACAGCACCTCACCAGGATTGTTGTTGGTTGGTTGGTTGTGTGGAGTTGGTTCCAGCTCACAGCAACCCTGTATAGTTTCCCATATAAAGTAAATCTTTATGGGAGCAAAAAACCTCATCTTTCTCCCTCACAATGGCTGGTAGTTTTGAACTGCTGACCTTGAGGTTAGCAGACCAACTCATAACCACTATGCTACCAGAACTCCTTGTTAAGATTATTGTTGTTGTTATTAGGTGCCATCGAGTCGGTACCGACTCACAGTTAGGTGCTGTTAAGTCACAATGCCCAACAGAAGGAAACAGGCCATCCTCATGATTGTCACATTAATCTCGTTAGGGACCTTCATCTTCTTTGCTGACTCTCACCCTCCACTTTACAAACCATGATGTCTTTCTCCAGGGACTGGTTCCTCCTGACAACATGTCTCTCCATCCTGGCTTCTAAGGAGCTGGACTTCTTCCAACACAGATTGGTTTGCTCTTCTGGCAGTCCATGGTACTTTCAATATTCTTCCCCCACACCATAACTCGATTTTTCTCCAGTCTTCCTTATTCACTGTCCAACCTTCACATGAGGCTATTGTACCTTAGTCCTCAAAATGACAGTTTGCTCTTGAACACTTTAAAGAGGCCTTGCGCAGTCGATCGGCCTGATGCAATGCATGTTATGGCTGTTGCTCTGTGCCGTGGAGTGTTGGTTCTGATTCATCACAGCCCTGTATAGAGTCTCTGAAGATCAGCTGGTGGGTTTGAACTACTGAACTTGCTGTTAACAGTCCAGTGCTTATCCTACAACACCACACAAGGACTCCAATACGTAAGAGTCTTAAGATCAGTGCTCAAAACCCTAACTACATGTCTTTTGTTTTGTGAACATGCCACTTGGGCCTTGAAAAGTATAGCCGGGAGGAAAAATGAGTGACATAAATGGTTAAGCACTTGACTACTAACTGGAAAGTCGGTGGTTCAAACCCACCCAAAGGTACCTCAGAAGGCAGGCCTGCCAATCTGTCTCTGAAAAGTCACAGCTTTGAAAACTCTACAGAGTAGTTGTACCCCATATTTGTGGGGTTACCATGAGCCAGAACAAGCTCTACAGCAAGAAACAAGGAAAAATGGTTGTAATTATTGGCTGTTGCTAAGTTTAGTCAAGTCAGTTCCGACTCACAGCAACTTGCATAGGATTTCTGAGGAGTGGCTGGTGAGTTTGAACTGCTGACCTTGACTTTAGCAATCCAGTGCTTATCCTACAGGGCCATACCAGGACTCCAGTAACAACTGTAGAGATGGAAAAATATAAAGTAAACCCATTGCTTCTGCTGAAAAAAGCAGACTTTGAAAACCAAGTGGATCATAATTCTACTGTGAGACACATACAGCAGCTATTGGTTTCCTTGGTTCTCGTTTTGTTTTGTTAAGACGCCGTTCATTGAAAGATGAATGCATCTTATTTGGTAAAGTAGAAGGTCAGAGAAAGCAGACACTCCGTGAGATGCTACAACCAGAGACTCAAACACACAAGCAATCAGGAAGTGGTGCAGGGTTGTACATACGGTCACCAAGAGCTGGAACCGACCCAACGACAAGTAACAACACAACAATTAAGAGGCACACAGCTATTTTCCACAACACGAGGAAAGCAGCAGTGTTGTTTTTGCTAGCTGCTGTGTTGTTGTGGTTGTTGTTAAGGTCTATCAAATCGGTTCCGACTCATAGAGACTCTGTATAGGGTTTCCAAGGAGCGGCTGGTGAGTTTGAACAGCTGACCTTGCGGTCCAGCGTATTATCCCACAGCGCCACACCAGGACTCCAATTGCTGTACAGTCCTTGGCTCAGACTCACAGTGACGTTATATTGTGCCGTCTTCCTCATCCATCAACGCCAACGTCATTCTGATGTACTCTTTACTGCAAGACACGTCCAAGTTTCAAAGAAGTAAAAATTCACAGTTTCCCATGGCGTCAACCCTGACTCCTGGTCACCCCGTGTGTGTCAGGGTACAACTGTGCTCCATAGGGTGTTCCATGGCTGTTTTGTTGGAAGAAGATCACCAGGCCTTTCTTTGGAGGTACCTCGGGGTAAATTGAACCTCCAATCTTTCAGTCAGCAGCATGCTGTTTGCACCATCCAGGGACTCTCTTAGAGTCCATGAAACGCCACAGTCTTGGGATGAGAAAGTGTACAATGCTTCATGCTGCCTCACTGACCCTTCCCTTGCAAAACAGCAGAGCAGGGGTGACCAGCAGGACCACGGGAGTGTGAAAAAAGTGGGGGAAGCCCGATGAGGTGGTGGTGGTCGGGGCTTAGCCTTGTGACCCCGTGTG